ACAAGAAAACACAGTTTTTGGCTTCTTTCATTCCTGTATTTTTAGAAACTAAAATAGTGAACGTTGACCAAAAATTCAGTGACTGAATAAACCAATGAACAAATAAACAAAGAGCCTTGTTTTGAACAACAAATTGAAGCACAAAGAAATGGAGTATTTATCCAGTTTAGTTAGAAAGTTAACATTTTTCCATGCTAGACCAAACAATCATCACACCTACTTACAACATTAATTGCATTCAGACTTGAAACTTGTGTTTCTGGATACATATAGATATTTGGTTTTTTGTTTTCTTGCCCTTCTCTTCCAATTTTAGGTTTTCTATTCTCACTCATCAACATAACAACCCCATTCTGTGTGACTGGCATGCATGATGATAGATACCCAGGAGTAAGAAGTTAGCTTTTGTGACTGCACTTACAACCTCTCGGAACACTAGCAAATACAGTAATAGTAATAGTAGTAATAATGGACGGGGAGTCTTGCATCTAATGATCTCAGAAATAGAAACTCTTTTCCAATTATCTGAAAAGGCATGACCTGCAAACTCAAGACACAATCTGGTAGAAGAAAGAAGGAGAATCTGAGTTTAAAACTGGCTAATAAAATTACATTTTTATTTCATTTTTGCTTCCTACCTAAATGTATGTGTCCACTAAGTTAGGAAGAAATTAAAGATGTATTTTCTACAACTGACTTTGTGATTGGGGATATTAATGGAAGCTTTTACCCTATACTTTATAATTTCTTCTGAGTGACAGGACCTTTCTGAATTGAGTAGGGTGAATAGGATTCCCCTTTAGAAAACATGGCATTTCAAGGTTTGCACTGAGGAATGTACTCAGATTTACCTCTAGTCCTCACATTGTCAATGTTACTAAATCTGCTTCATTCCAATAAAATTCATGTTGCTTTTTTTGTGTCTTCTCTTTCTATCCCTAATGCAACTTAAGGTAGTTTTTAGCATTTCCCTATTATTATACATCTGCTTTAATTTAGCTGTGATGATTCATGTAAAGCAGAAAAAAGAAACTTCACTGTAGTAGGAAATTGCCCTTTACTCTGGAACTCATCACATCATGTCAAAGAAATTTGCACCATCCACGAGCCAGAATGACAAAGTCAAAGGACTCTATAACCAGTAATGTGATTTATACAGAAAGTCAACCTGTTAAGAATAAAACCGAAATCTTTTAGTAAAATAAATGTGTATATGTTTATGGTACATGATATACACCTACTTTAAGACATTTTGGAAAGAAAATAATAAAATCAGTAGAAATAATGTGAGTATTCAGTAGCAAAATATTCTCATGGAGTCTGTTGGTTTGGGTCATTAAGACAATACTGGTTCGAACTGTTTGCAGTATCATTGATGGAATGTCCACTTTACAAGCTTTAATTTTGTGACTTGAACAATTATTTCTAAGATGACAATATGTAATCCATTAACTAGTGATTTCCTACTGTTCATTTTTTTCTGTAAATCTGTATAACTTGTACCCTTTCCCTGCTTTTTTTTTTCTTTTCTCCTTAAATAAAATTTAAAAAAATAAATAAATAAATAAAAATAAAAAAAAATAAAAAAGACAATACTGGTTCACAGTATCCACAGCATAACTCCCTCCTACACTGACTGCATTGTACACCAGAAGCAGAGAAGGATTAGAGAAGAGGGAGATTACAAGTTTTTCTGCTTTTTTCACCTTGGCTTCTGAAGACTTGAAGTTTGTGATAACAACATGGCGTGCTTTGCCAGCACTATAGACATCAGCTCATTCCTGCTTGTTGTTAACACAGGAGAGGTGTGAGTTGCTGAAAGGTGTCACCCCAGTCTCCCACAGACACTTACAGAGGTGCCACAAACAGCCCCTCCTACCTCAAAGGTGCCACCTTACAGAGGTGCCACAAACAGCCCCTCCTACCTCAAAGGTGCCACCTTACAGAGGTGCCACAAACGGCCCCTCCTACCTCAAAGCCTGACATGGAACTTGCCCTAGGGAAAAAAATAAAAATACTAGTTTACCTCTTTGCTTATTTCTAACAGTTTCTTTGTTGGAAGAGTAGGCAAGAACTCTTGTGCATATCTTGTATGTTCTAGAAATATAATCATTTTATTTTCCTATTGGTAAACTCTTGTATGAAGGGACAGAGAACAAATGTCAGTCATTTGGGATTTTGCCAGCACCTCAGCTTCTCTGACCTACTCTGAGGGAGAATGTGCTGGAGAAGCAAATTATCAATATGATGCTTGGTCACTGACTACTCCCAATGCCGCTGAGGCAGCTGTCCTCTCATCGTGGTCACCTGGCAGCTGCAGACCTGGATTCTGTCAGTTCCATGGTACCCCAAAAGAGTGACAAATAAACATACAAGGACTTTGCTTAAATGATGGCAGCTGCAAAGTGATTAAACTGTCAGAAGGAAAGAAAAACATGACATGGAACTTTTTTCTTCATCTATTACAGTTACATTTTGAGAGAAAAATACTAATAATTTCTCTCCCACTCCCGCCTCTCTCCTGTCACCCATAATTGAATCTTGTGGCTTTTCTGTATCCTCAAAGCATAATACTGCCCAGTACCCAGATAGGTGGGGGTGCTGAGGTCTGCAGAAACGCCCTCAGTAAGGCGCATCTGGAAGAAGCAGCATATTATACATTGGCAAGTCTGACAGCAGACTGATATATGGGCCTACTACTTTATTGCTGAATTTACTTTCAATAGGGGCTGTTATTTTATCATGGGTCCTTCAATCATGGCTATGTGAAGTCTAGACCAAGACTTCCTGAAGTGTCCAGGGCTGGTACGCAGGAAATAGTCCAGCCCAGCAATGTACAGTGGTGCGTGTCTGCAGCAAATGTTAGGCTCCAGAGATGACCATTTCAGACAACGCGTTGATTAGTGTGGAGGACAGACAGACAGAAACACAGATTTGCCTGGATGATTTTGATTAGAAGAACAGAAAGGATAAAGAAAACAACCTCAGTTTTAAACTTTTAGAAGACCTTACCTTCTGTGTAGAGATATTGTAGTTAGAATTATGGCAAGATTGATAAATTTCTGTACAGGAAATACTTTCTAGCCCAAATAACATAAAGTCTTTTTGACTTTCCAAATTCTTGTACAGCAAAGTTAAAATTTTCCCATTTTCTATTTTTATCTATTTTAGGTTATTTTGATAGGAATAAATCAACTTTGTTCATCATTTGTAACACAAAATGCATTTGTTTATTATTTATATCCAATGTTACCAATTATAGCATTTTCATTATCAGTTTTCATTATGATTATTAACTATGACCATTTTTGTAGCTCTAAATTCTTAACAAGATGTCTGCACAAATAACAAATATCAGCACCTACTGCTTTTCTTATTTTAATTTTTATTTGATTTTATTTTTTCAAAATATCCTATAATTTAGAATTTCATGAAAGAATAACAGTCATATCATGTTTTTGCAAAAATCTTGAATGAGTCTTTTCAGATATTCTAGGAATTTTTTCAAAGGTCAAGGGATCCACAAATGGTTTTAATTTCAGTGAAAGAAGCTAAGCACACAGGTCACATCCTACGCATGATCCCATTTATGTGAAACATACAGAATGATCATAGAAACAGAAAATAGATAAGCAGCTGCCAGGACCAGAAAAATTAAGGAATGCATGCTTAAAATGTTTCCCTCTTCAGGATTACAAATGTTTTGTAACTAGATGGTGAGGATAGTTGCACAATATTTGAAATATATTAAATGCAACTGAATTATACCCTTGCAAATGGTTAAACTGAGTAAGCTGTCAGAAGAGTAACACCTGCAAATTGATTCTGCATACCATGAAGTTTTCCATCTATACAACCAACTCTAATTCTATATAATATCTGAAAAGGAGTTCGGTTCTTTATCAAATTTGATATATTAATGTTCATTATAGAAAACAATACAGAAAACCTAAATCAATTATAATTCCATTGTCTGGAAAGAATCTGCTCAGGCTTTTTTGTTGTGTATAAGCACAAACATTTTTACCCTAAAAAGAAGCTACATGTTGTTTTATAGTAAAACCAATTTCATAATTTTACTGACTATATATCTAATACAATTAACTAGGTATATACAAGCTTTTATGTGCTTCAAACATATTAAGTAATTTAATCATCCCAACAACCCCATGAAGTTGAGGCAGATAAATAAACACCCCTTCTAGTCACAGAGTTGGGAATTGGCAGAGCTAGGATTTATGTCAAGCACTCTAGCTCTGGGGTCTGTTTCCAGCTTTTATGACCCCATAGTTAACCAGATCAATACTACTGCATGCTTGGAATCTATTCAGAGTTTTTCTGCTAAAAACAAAATTCCAGTGAATATTCTTGAAGCCAAACACATGAAAAAATGGTCATATTAAAACTCCCTGAAATTGAAATTGTGGTTCACTTTATATTAAAATTTAAGACATTTGACAGAACTAATAAATTTTTTTTTTAAGTACAGAGCTTTTACCTTAGGGGACACATTCCACACAGGGGGTAAAGCTTAATTGCAAAGCATATACTATAATATTTGATTGGATCATCTGATGATTAACATTTAGCCATCATCTGTCATGTAAGTAGCAGAACCAAAATTGGATTATTGCTCGTTTTCCATTTCTTATTTTTTATGTCCAACATTTTCCCTTAACTGGACTACACCTCAGATAAAACTCCAGTATTACTGTACTTCTGTAACATTCTGAACTTACAAACACCTTGTGACATTTTTCACACCAAATTACAATCCAATATAAAGGTACACACTAATAGATACTCGTTTGGAAAGCTGTGCCTCAAAACAGTGTATGTTTATGATGTCGACACTTCGAAAATGACCCACTCTCTAAAATATTCCTGCTACTAGGACAAAGGATCTTCTGGGGATTTCTAATTTCATGCTAGCTTAAATCAGTACCATGCAATGTGTATCTTATATTATTTAATCTTCAGACACAAGACAAGAAACCAAGTTGACATTATTTTATTTTATTCTATACGTATATTACTTTACATACAGTTTTTGCTTATGTTGACCTGCAAAGTAACTTCTTTTAGTGGAAAAATTAAAACATTACAAAACAAACCCTACCGCATTTTAAACACTTAACTACTTCTTTATAAATGTAAGAAAAAAAACTGTATATTTACATATAAAACCCAAGATCATTCACCAGGATAAAAAATTGAAAGCTTTGAAAAGACCTGTTCTTACACACTAAAATCATATAACTTTTACCTTATACATATGAGGAAAGAACAATACCACATGTTAAAATTATTAAAATTAGAAGAATTTCCAGGAAAATGAGTATAAATCTTAAAAAAAAAAACTCTATATTTCAGGAAAAATGAATAAACAAAATATGTGGAATCAAATCAGAATTTTACATACACATTTAATGGAAGACTGTCTTAGTGCCCAAAGTACTACAGAAAGAGAGATGCTTTCCTGAATACGCTTTGTATTCAGTTGAGGTCCACCCCGGTTAGACTCATCAAGCAGCCAGCCCTTTTCCTGATTCCGCACTCCAAATTAGGAGAGGCAGAGAGCAGGGGCTGGCTGGTACCTCATCCAAATCCAAGGACAGCTGCACTGCTTAAGAAAGGAAAGCCAACGCAGGGCCAGGCCTAGAAAGTAGGAAGCAGGGGCAACACCGCCCTCAGCACCACTCACATGGGCTTCCCTCCCTGCCCCTCAACACCTGGGTCTTCATGTTGCTCCCTGACTGTCCAAATACCCGCCCTGAGTGTGCCCTCTTCTAAAATGACAATTTGATCTCTCAGGCTCATCTTCTCATGTTTTAAATGACAGCTTGATGGCTTTCTTTCATGTATTTTAAATTCCTATTTCTTCTCTTAACTAAAATTCCTCATAACAAGGCAAATTGACAAAAATAATTAATTCACATTGCAGGATTTTTGAACATCTGGAATAAGCTGCCAACTAAGTGAACCGCTGCTGGGGGTCTTGTGACAATGCTGACAGAACAATGGAAGACAGAGGCCAAGGAGGCTGGCTTTCCTCGAATCAGGCAATGCCACTGTAAAATGGCATGAGAAGAGAGAAAGGCCGTTCTGCAGCTGTCAGCTTCTGATTGCAACACAAGGTGAGCAGGGTCCGTCTGCGGACTTTGTTCTAAGGACAGTCACCCCCCCCCCAATAGTTTCACTATAATTTGCCTCCCTGCCCCATGGAGCCTCCATATTAACTGAAAAGAAATGCCTACTTGGTTCTAAATAAAAAACATGTTCACAGATAGGAGAGAAAGAAAATGGCAATAGAGAATTTAATTTCAACAGATACAAGAGATTCTTTTTAAAGTGTTTTCAGTATTAGCTCCTAAGAAAGACACCTCATCTCTAGAAGTTGGCCCTCAGCAAGCAAGGATTCATACGTGTGATTTGTATGCCCCAGTTTGCTTCTAATTTGTAGATGCAGAAATATCTAAATAGCAAGGCAAATCTGTAATGGTTGATACATTGGGTCAACTTGAGAACTGAGAAGTTTAGAAGCTTAGCGAAGTGACTTAGCAAGAGAGCAGGGTCTTTCCACTGTAAACAGCCTGGGTCTGTGCAAGACGAGGACACAGAGATGGTGTGAGTGCTTATGTTTACCCAAAGGCAGGCAGTCTGCACATAAGGGAGGAAAAGAGGCTTGCTTCCCCATTTTGCTCTTGCTGGTTTTGCTTGTCTTCTGCTGCCTTGAACTGCCGCCCCTGTGCCATGCCGTCCTGCTTGGGAGCCAGCTGATTATGGACTGAAAGTTCCACAGCTGTGAGCTAAACAAACCTTTCCTTCCTTAATTTTGAGCCTCGGGTGCTTGGTCCCAGCAACAAGAGAAAAGTAATCAAGACATCCACTCATCTAGTTCTCTAGTTCTTTCCCATTTACAACAAGAGTGTAATTTGTTTCTGAGTGTAAACAAATGACACAAATGGACACGAACTACTTTCTGATAAGTTGAGTTATGACTCAGTACATAAGAACTAGGTACAAGAAGCTTCGTCTTTCCTAAACTCTGGATTTCTACTCTGGGATAAACCACATCCAGGCTTATTTTAAATCATTGCCATTTTCCTCTTTGTTTTCATTTCAAATGCTGCACTGATTAATGACTTTATACACTAACAGAGTAATTTTACAACTATACAATAAGGTTACATACACATTTATTTCCAGTCCTGTTCCTATAGAAACCTTGTTTTCAAAGTCAAATGAAGAATTTGATAGTGGAGTTGGCAGGTAAGGCTTGTATCAGTTTTTCAGAGCTGTGAAATGTTTTACTTAATTTTATCTCTTTCCTAAAACTGTCTTTGAATAATGGTACTTTCTTATCTGTGTTACAACTGGCACATGTTGTGAATATATCATAAAGAGATATTAGCATAGCTAAGCTATTTTCAGACTAGTATTTACTCAACATATTAGGAAAATATCTGTAAAGAAGAGCAGATCCTTTCTGGCCCCTAATTCCAGTCCTGTGGGATGCAATTTGCTAGTTGTATATTTTAACATTTTGACTTACTGTAAAAGATAAGCAAAAAATTTTAAAAACACAAATTCGTAAGTGGCATAATTATAAATTTAGACAAATATTCTCTATACACAGATGTTCCTCTACTTATGATGGGGTATGTCTCATTAAAGCAATCATAAACTTAAAATACTGGTTACTTGAAAACATTTAATAAAATCAACCTACTGAGCACCATAGCTTAGCCACACAGTACACCTTATGGTATAAATTATTTCCCCTCCCATTCCTGTGGCTGAGTGGGAGCTGTGGTTCCAACAGCTTTGCAAGATAATATTATACAGCACATCACTAGTTCAAGAAAAGACCCAGATTCAAAACTCAACGTATTTTCTCCTGAACATGCATCAATTTCAACCATTGGTAAAAACGAAAAATTGTAAGTCCACTAAGGGTTAAGTCAGAGGCCATCTGTATACAAGTTGTAACTGAATTTCACAATATCATTTTTAGAAACCTCTAGAACGACAGGTAAAGGACCTGTCTCATTATAACAGCTGTGGCATTATCTCTTGGTGCATGCTTCCGCTAAGGTAAGAAATTTGGGCTCCAAATTATTTAAAAAGTCAAGTCCGTCTTCTTCTTGCTTTTCACTGCAGCAGCCCACAGAGCCGGCTGGAGAGCCCCTGCCTTCGTAGCTGTAGGGAAGGACGTAGTCCTGCAGGGGCATGTGTTCCTCGTGCTGGTTACAAACGTGCAACTTCTGCAAAGCCATTTTTAAGACAGGATTGGATCATTGTTTCAAACAACTTCAACATATGAACATAAAATTTATTTTTTATTTACCTTTCATGTTTAATTTTTAACCAGTGTGTCCTCTAATGGGTTCCTACACACAAAAAATGCACATGATTGGTCTACATCACAACCATATCATAAAATCTGTGTTCAACTTCTAATCATCTATACAAATAAAATCTTATACAAATGTCATGGTTTTACACACATTTAAGTTATGAAATACTTATCTTTCAATTTTATAGCCAGAGGTCAGGCTCTTTCACTGCACAGTAGTTAGTATTTGAGCCTGGGTGGCAAATACCGCAGTTCGGAGCAAAAGTTCTGGCTCTACCAGCTAGATCTATGAATTCGGGCAAATCTCTACGCACCTGTAAGTATCTTTCTCCTCTAATTTAAAATGAGAATACTGATGGTAACTGTCTCATGGTGTTATTTTACAAATTAATGATGAAATAATAATGCATGAGAAAATAAACCTACTAAATGTACAAAAATGTTAACTAAAATCATTATTATATACAATTATAAGGATAATCACTATATTGGCTTCAGAATCAAGTTTACAAGACAGTCAAAACAAAAAAAGATAGATACATGCACAAAAAATGAACCACTGAAATTAAAAAATAATCAAAATAACCCACATTGCAAAATCTGAGCTTGTGTAATGAAGAAATCCAGCATTCAGTGTATCTATCTTCTTTGCTATCCGTCACTATCTTCTCTACCAACCTGTCAAGCTTCTGTGCCCCCTCCTTTGTGTGCCCATTCCTCTAAGCCAGAGCTCATCTGGTGGGCTTACATTATTAAGAGTCTTTCCTAATGCTGGACCAACCCTTCGCCAGCCACGACTCCCAGTGTTAGATGCGTACACTGAAGAACAAGCCTAAGAATATGTCTTAGGCTTAAGCTCCTTCCCAACCTGATCTTATGTGAATGCTGACTACCTAAAAACAGAAAAAGGATTAACACTTGAAGGTGACACAAAAGATGCTATGGACATAAAACAACCTACAGCCCTCTCACAGAATGCAGCCCAATGGCCATCTATCCAAGGATGGAGGTTCTCTGGCCCAGAATTTGCTACATTTGCGTTGCTTTCTCTGAAAAAAGGTAAAATTTTTACCAGCAAGAATATTCAGTCCAGTGGCTTTTTAATCCTAAATACACTTTTGAATCATCTAAGAAATTTTAGAAAAAAGCCAAATCAATTAAATTCTTTAAAGGTGAAGACAGTGCATTTTTAGAATCTGTCAAAAAGTTTTTTATGGGCCAAGAATTCCTTACTTCAATCCTTGTTTCTTTTGTGTCCTTGCTTTCTTTTAGATAAAAACACTTTATATTTGCATGGTGCTTTCAATGTTAAAAATATTTTATGTAATGATGACTTTAACCAGTTTTTGTATATTCCAAAATTACTAAGTAAATTTCAAACATTCCTTCTCCCAAAAGTTTTGAATGTGAGTTAATAATTCTACATCATATACATATACTATAACATCACTTACCATTCTCTTCATGTGAGTAAATAGATAAAATTATACTTTGTCAATTTGAATAAAAACCAGTGAAAAATAAGTATTTCACATAAGTCACATTAATCTTTATCCTAAAATTGTATTTCACAGAGAAAAACAGATTTGATTTGGGAAATTTATGATAGGAATAAACTAGATTTTTCTCACATTTTTCAATATGAGAAGACTTCAAGAAGTAAACAAACACCTAAAAATAAAACCACAATGATAGATATTGGAAATCTCTAATTTTATGGAGCTTTAGAAACTAAAGAAATAGAACAAAGGACATTAAATTATTTTAAATTAAATAATGTAATAAAATCAAATAACTTAAAAATTACTAAGGAAGAGAAGAAACTTGGGACAATATAGAAAAACAGATATACCGTGATTTCAATTTCCTACTGCTCTCAGTAGAATATTTAAATCTGAGAGTTAAACACCTAGGGAAACTCACTTCGCCGAGCCGCGGCTGGGTGAAATTGTGCCACTCGGAGTAGGTGTAGCGGCAGTTCTCGGTCTCCACGTGTCCTCCCCTGCAGGAATCCAGGGTGTGGTGGTGCCCGGCACTGTGGCAGGAGTCCAAGGTCTGCTGTCCTCCTTTCATCATTTCTATGGTCTCCTGCCCTCCATTTCTGACTCCCGATCCCACTGTGCCACAAAACCGTTGGTTACAGTTGTTGGCAGTCTGGGTTGTGAATCCATTGGCAGAACACTGCAACACAACACAACACAACACAACACAATATGGTTCATGTTGGGAGAAAATGGATTTCAGACAAAGTCACAAGAAGGCAACCAAGAGAAATCATCCATCCAACCTTTTACTCATCCTCTCACTTACTCGACAGACATTTATCAGCTTGGGATTCTGTACCAGATGCAAAACCACAGGGAAGCAAAGATGGACCCTGTGGCTCTAAGAAGCTCTCACTGCAACCAAGCAGAGAATCAGAATTCTTCTACAAAGGCGATTGCTCTGCTGTGTAAGTGAGCACTGAGAGGGAGAGAGAGCACAAAAAAGAGCAGTGAAATTTAAATCCAGAAAGGAGAAGTGGAACAGAAAACTCTGAGATAAGGAACTAAAGACCAGTGGAAATAGGAAGAGAAAACACAACATTTGCAGGAGGGTCAGCACGCAAAGGTAATTGGGTTATATCGAAGCTCCTGAACTTGGCTGAGTTCAGAATGCATACTACACAGAGCCGCATAGAGAGGAAAAGGAGAGAGGGAGAGGAGGAAGAAAGAAGGGAAAAAGAAGGAGAGAGGGAGAGAAAGGAATAGAAAGCTGGAGAGGCTATAAAAAGTGAGAGGAAAAAAATATATATATATTTATGTATATATTTTATCCTAAAGGTTATGCAGACTCAATAAAGAATTATACCTTATTATGGAGAGAAGTATATTTTTAGAAAATGTCATTCTAGTCACTTACGTGGAAAATAAACTAAGTGGAGACAAATTCATACCGCGGAGATCAGATGCGATCACCGAATTGCTCCTGGTGGGAAATGAGCCTAGGCAGAAGTCCTAACGACTGCAAGTAAGCGGACTCCTCGGAGAGCCCATGGGTGGCAAAGCAGAGAGTCAAGGAATAGCCTCGGTGTTCTACCCAGGAAATTAGATAAAAGGTAGAATTCAGTAAAGTAAGAAGAAAAATAGGGCTCGTGGGAGAGTAGAGGATAAGCAGTGCAGCTTGGGAGTGAGGGACTTGACACACATGTGTGCCTCCCTGGATGAATTCGTGAATAGTGCATTTGGAGATCAGAGGAGAGATCAGGCCGGAGACACAATTTTGGACTTCACTGACAGACAGACAGACAGCTGTTAGGGCCTCAGGCATAGATGAGCTATCCAGCCGAAACTGCAGGCCAGAAGAACAAAGAGCTACTGACACAAAGAAGATTCATGTTTTAAGGGGTAAACAAGAAAAATACAATGGTGACACGATTGATCTGGAGCAGCCACTGAGGTAACAGTGGGAACTAACCAGGTCCTGCAGATAGGATCTCGGTGGGCAGAGAATGGCCAATGGTGGGAGAAAAGAACGGAGCCTAGTCAGAGCTGGTTCAAATACAGTAAGTGCCCACTGCATTCCAGGAAAAAGCATCCCTTGCTGATCTTGTCAAAAATAATTTCCAAGATGAGGCTCGTGAACAGGGAGTAATGCTACAGAAAAATCAAATATAAGCTTTTCTTCCCAAATGTTCAGCTTGAAAGCAAAAGAAATATGCAGAGGGAACTAGAGTGGGTGAGAGCCAGGGAAAAGTTTTAAAATGCAAAGGATTTGATTAAATATTAACTCGACCCTGGGAGTTCACAACAGGCCCTGTCTGTCAGAATTTAGTTACAACATAACCTCAGCAGGTCTCCTAAGGATAAGCCACTGCAGTACCTCCTCCCAGGAACCTCCCACAGAATCAGAATTCCACTGTGCTGTCAATGTATGCTCCTCCTACTTAAGAGTTAGAAGAGTTTCTAACTAAAGTGGAAGATTGTCAAATTCAGATACTTCACTGAGCCCAAAATCTATCTACAAAAGGCATACATACTAGGTCAGTACTTAAGAAAAGAACAAATCAGAAAAGAAGACTAAAAAGTAGCCATGTGGTGGCAGTACTACCCTATATTTACTTAAGCGGTTGGTCCAGTAAAATTCAGCTACCAAGAAAAATAAATCACATTCCCAATTATTGAATTTCTTTGATGGTATTAGTTTATCATAATACATGTATATTCAGAGACATATTTCTAAGATAATCAAAGGAGAATTAAAAGTAAACTAAAACTGATGAGACAGGGACCAGAGGTTTAGTTCAGCGGTTCAAGTGCTTGCTTGGTAAGTGCAAGGTTCTGGGTTTGATCCCCAGTAAGAAAAAATAAATTAATTAAATTAAATAAAGTTTATATATTCACTAGGCAATTTTATCATAGTTTATTAAAACTTATGTAAAGGTATTTCCTGGTATAAATTAATATTTCTAAAAGCCTCTTTTGAAGTGTTCCTAACAGAGAACAAGTGAACATGCTGAAAAGACCAATAAATTCCATCAGCTCTAGCTTTAAATGGCAAAGAACCGATATTAGGTGAAGTTCATTCACCTGGTTTTCAGATGTAAAGTAGGAACTTCCTATAGGTCAGGGGTAGCAGGACTGGACTCATTTCGGATCTATTTTCTGATTATAGAGATAATCATAGCATTCTAGACGATAGCATAACAAGCACAGATGGCTATCATTTTGCACAGCAGAAAAGAGTCAGAAGAGATAAGTGGTAAATGTAAAATCATCTTCATGCTGAGATATAGAAAAGGAGAGATAAGTCATCCTTGTCCCTAGCCTCTGCTGCTTCAGCCATGGAGGCCATCTCATGCTTAAACTATTGGAAGGCGCTAAGGCTTCCCCTTCTCCATCCCTCCTCCGTCCCTGCTGTCCCTGCCCTCTTCTGACTCCATCACGTCGGCAGCTGCAGGATGCCCCGCAAGAACTGTGACTGACTCTCCCATACCCGAGAGTACATCCAGGACTCCCCTGGTTTGGGCGTGAGGGGGCCCTCTCCCCACCTTCTCATACATCATCTCCCCAACACCAGAGTTAATTCAAAGCCTCCCCTCAACCCAATTTCTTCCATTCCAAAGCAATTTATTCACTATTTGCTGAATGGCCCCTAAACTCAGTCATCATCTTTCTTATCCTTTAGGCTATTTTGCTCCACTTTAGCTATTCTTACCAATTCTTCACTTTCAGACTCTTCTTATTTTTAAAGCTATAAACTGTACCTCTTTCATTTTTCTTATAGAGAAAGCCGTAAGCCTTCCTCGTTTATCCAAACCTTGAGAGTATGCTTATATTTTATAAGTGTCTTTGAACTTTGATAGTGCTTTATTACACGGGTTTACCATCATACTGTTTATTTTTTCCATAAAAATGAATATTATTTCCCACAAAGATCTTAAAATATTTTTGAAGAGGGACACTCCTCTACTTTTCCCACAAAACAATAAGCACAGAGACAAGAGCCTCGGAGATCCTGAAATATTTTCTTTTTTTTTCTTTTTTTTTTTTTTGTCTTTTTCTTTTTAATCGGTACCGGGGATCAAACTCACAACCACACACTGGCAAGGCAGGCGCTTATGCTGCTGAGCTAAATCCCGAGCCCCCAAGATCCTGAAATATTTAACAAAAGAGAATGGCAGTAATTTTCCAAACTCTCACCCTTCAGTTACATACATATCTTTATTATCTTCCTAGTTATCTTGAAAACGTATAGCAAGCTTCATATTTCCTATTATAAATAGTCCAAGAGTTACATAAACAAATAATATCTGGAAACACACATTGTACAGAGCAGCCAAAAATTATTGTCCCAATACGTTTGCAAGGTCAGAAAACAAGTTTTAAGTAAGAATGCTAAAGAGCAGAAAAACCCATAATTATGCATTTGGTTTAAGCAACTTAAGGAAAGCTACTTTTTAAAAAATTTAAATACTGATGTGTCAAGTATTTATTTAACCCTGAACTTTTAAAAAAACTTCAGAAGTATGAGCTTTTAAAAATCTTAGGCAAGAGACATAGTCATCAAAAAATTACTCACCACTCTGTCATCTCCAGGTGCTTCTGTGTTTGATATAATTAAATTTTGCTGTGCTAAATCTTCAGGAAATTGTTTTCCTTTTCTAGCACTAACAACTCCGCAGACTAAAGTTAGCAGTACAGCTGGGTTTAAAAAAAAGAAAAAATATTTACGTTAGCATGGATGAAATAAAATAATTTTCCTTTATTTCTTATAATTAATCCAAGTGCTACAGGATAAAAACTAAGCCACTAAAGCATAGTTTCCTATGAATTACCTTGGCCTTGGTAAATTAGCAGTTTAGCTTAATTAACAGTTTAGGATAGATTTTAAAGTATGTATGTATATTTTTGTAATTTACCTCTCTGTTTAAGGAGCTGAAGTCTGCCCGTAATGTTAAAATATTTATAATCAGAATTAATTACTCTATTTAATAAATCACTGACATTTATATAAGATGAACATTTTTAAGAGATGTACTGATTCCCTGAAGGACGATTTGTCTATAAAGAAACATGACACAATAAGTTCTTTTCTCAGGTAGAGTTATCTCCAAGAGTGTTAATTAAACCTAGTTTGTCTCTCACCCCTTGAGAATGTTCATTCTATATCATAATTATGGTAGGTTAAAATATATAATAAAACCAACAATGGTAACAATTCTTTACAATATTCTATAAGACACTAAAGGATAAGTAAACCATGGCCCTAAATCCAGCCAACCATGTTTTGATAAAGCCCACGAGCTAACATTTTATATTTTCAAATGGCTGGAGAAAAAGCAGAAGAACAACAGTAATAATTGATGGCAGAAAATTTACATGAAATTCAAATTTTAGCATCCATTTCTAAAGTTGTACTGGAACATAGCTATGTCTTTCATTTTCCCATTTTCTATGGCTGTTTGCTTTTTTCAAGAGCCAATTTGATTGGCTTCAACAGAAACCACCCGGTCTGCAAAGCCTGAAATATATACTGTGTGGTCCTTTACAGAGAACGTGTGCTAACCTCCATCTACTCAATGTGCTACCTTCCTGGTTCCATTTTTTAGTCCACTGCCCCTGGCCACTACTATCCAGCTACACTGGTCTTGCCATTAGTCTTTGATCTCTTCGTCTGTGACCCCACCTTAGGACCTTTGCACTGACTTCCCCCTCTAACTGAAAGCTCTTGCTCCCAGGTATTTCACAAGGTGGCCTCTCTCACCTGTTCCAAAACTCATCAGAGATAGTTTTCTCATTTAGGCCTGACCTAGCCACCTATCAAAAATTGCAAACACTAGTCTCAACGTTCTCACACACTCTATAGCACATGAAAACTTAGTTATTTTGCTCTATTTTTCCCATCAAAGCATTTAAACTACTCATTTAATGTCAAAAGGCATATTTTTTGGTTTATCAATTTTCTTCTATGATAAACTCTAAACACATAGAGCAGTTTCTGGCAATTAGTTTTGTCTAACATATATTTATTTTGTTGAGATAATGGAAAATAATGGACACTTACTGGAAATTTATCATGCACTAATACAAGCACCTCACACACATTAACTGAATCCTGAGTACCTGCCTCATAGAGTAGACTACTAGAACTGTCCCCTTTTATGGAGGAAGAAAATGAAGTTCCCTTAAGTAACTTGCCCCAGTACTATGGCTTGCAGGTGATAAAGTATCTGGTTCCAGGGTTTTGCTCTTAATTATTACGCCTACCACAGAACAAAGCAAATCTGAGCCAGAGGGCTGGAGGGAAGCAGAGGCAGACAGAGACAAAGACAGAGAACCATTGGGAACCACACAAATGGCAAGAAGGAGGTTAATAATTCGGAATGAGCAATCTATATCCAAGATGGGACATTGTTATGATCTGAACATTTCCCACAAATCTGCGGCTGCAAAAGTGAAAAATAAATAAAAGTTGCTTTTTTAGTGGACTCTGACATGCAGGAGTTTTAACTTGCTCTGTTTTACCCTAAAAGGAGTAGCACTAAAATTAAAAATAAAAGCTATATTTAGGCAGATTCAGCACAGTCTAAGGAATTTTCATTAATTCTGTCCAGATACAAAACTTCTATCATGAGAAGGATCATGTTCCCTCCCATAGAAACAGTCAAACAGATCTCAGATTCCAAAGGAACTCACAAAGGGAATTCACACCTGATGTGCGCTTGAACAAGTTTACTTTTTAAAGATCTTTTCCTGACTCAACTCTTTTACTTCTCATCTTAACTCCAATTAAGGGAAAGGACTTACAAAGCAGCAGGGCTATGCCTAGTAATATGGCGAGGATGGCCCACTTGCCCAGCACCACGCCTGCGCTCCGTGCCATTGAGACACATTGACTCGGGTGACTGCAGTCACACAGGTTGACTCTCAACACTTTGGTGGCAGACTGGCCTCCTCTGTCTTTCACAGCAACAGGAACTGTGTATTCTTGAAGTTGGGCATTTTTCTGATATGACAGACGGGCAGCTGTATCTGAAACAAAATAATATATTTTTATTTTTAAAAGATCATTTATTCTTTTCCAGGTATGTATTTCATCTTGTCTACTTCATCTCAGCTTTAGAAAGCATTAGTCTCAAGGAATGGCTTGCTACAAGAAAATAATCACAAACGGAGGACTGTCTCCCACCCTTTAAACCACACACATTATGTTATCCATGTTGTTCCATACAACTCTAGAAATAAAGAGGCTTAAAGAAAGAATGTGGCACTGGAAATCCAGTAGCATTCCAGCAGTGTTTACTGTTCCTTTTCATACAGAAACTAACAAGGCTAAACTGGCTTTTGACAGACAGGTCACATATCTTTCTTCAGGACCAGTTCACATACACATAAGGATTTAACACCTACAGGTACACACAAAGCGTGTCTTCTATTAAAATTCTCTTATCCATTTAGCTTCTGGTATCTGTCCATTATCCTTATGGATAAGGAAATTTGTCAAAGCACCCAATAGGTTCTTTATGAGTAATGCCCTGCATTTGGAAATAATCTCAACACCAGAAAGCTAATTATATCACACAGGCTACTTGTAAAGCTTACAAAAAAAATCAGATCCACTGATATTGCAATACTTTGTTTTTATTAACTGTGATGTTAACTTTCCCCAATAGTCTTGCTACTTTATTTTGATGTCATTATTTTCAACTAACCAAATGTTCCACAGACTTTCAGTGGCAATTACAACCTCCTTGACTTTTTGTAATAGGCTCAATAAAATGACAAGGTAGCAACACACACATACTGCAAGTCATCTGGAATTTCTAAGCTGTGATTAAGTGCACTGTTAGGCTGGAAGAACTTCAAACAATTTTTGCTGTGCCTCATACCTGAAAGCCCCATAGAGGAATGCAAATCACTGCTTGGGTTCACTTGGGACCCTTCAGGACCATAAATGTCTCGGGTAAGATTTTAAGCGCCATTTCTCCTTCAAGAACACCAGCTGAGCCACAGCTGCCTGATTTATTCATAACAGTGCAGAACTCTCTCATTTTCCTTATCACTCAACGCTGCCTTCTTCATATTTTCTCCTGTCACCAACGTTACCTTCACACACATAAACCCACACACAGGATGGCCTTCCTTGCGGATTCTAAAACCAGGCCTGTTGTCTCCTGCAGGGCACAGGTCGGTCTTACCCTTGAGGTTATTTACCGAGAGATTCCACACTTCCTCCTACACAAACCCTCAATATTCCTACAGAAACTTGCTAAATTCTCATTGCACTAAGTTACTTTTTCTCTAATATGTCTTCTTCTACACATATCTTTTAAGCAAGTATTGATTAAACACTTTTTAAGCAGCATCTGCTGGCACTAAGCACTGGAAAGAGAAGAATTACAAATGTCCTGAGAAACGCCTGTGTTGGAGGAGAAAGCACACAGCTGGTTGTGCAGGATGAAGGGTACTAGGATACAGGCATCGAAAGGTCACTGCTAGTCCTTGTACTTCAAGAAAACTTCCCACAGGCTGAACAGCTGAGCTGGGGCTGTCTTACACATCTCTCTGTACATCTAAGGATCTGGACCGCTCCATAAACATTGCGAATGAATATCAAAATAAAATGTAAAAGGTATTCTAGGAAAAGGGGGCAGCATGCACAAAATTTTAACTGCATGAAGAGTATGACATTGTAAAAAAACCAAGGAGTGCAGTGCGGATAAAATGTAGAATATTACATCCCCCCAAAACTGCTATCAGAGGAAACTACCCAAGAAAGCTCCAATGCTAGACCCCTTTCCATATCCTACCATGGTCCTTTCCAGGACACAGAGCATGTTTTTCTCATACACGGGGGTTCCCCACTTCAAGAGCCTGTTTGCAGTACACTTAAATACACATCTGGTTTCTCTATATTTTACTGTTATGAGTTTTTTAAAAAAGACAAAAAATTTATCTTAATAAGTTCCCAATATTTAACAAAGATTTTTGCCTGAAGAAAAATTATGATTTCCTTCATTTTATTTATAACATAAATGCAGTCACCACTGGATATAAAAGATTAACGTCCCCAAATCAATCTTGCATTATATTTTGTGTATGTAAACAAGTAAATCTATTCTCTAGTTTTTCTGTTGTTTCAGAGCATGGATACCACTTTTTTATTGAATACCGTTAACTTTGCTGAGGGTCCATATTTTATTGACTTCTGGGGACGGGTTTGCCAAGCTGAAATGAAAGGGCGCTCCGTAGACAGGTCCGTCACGGTCAACAGCTGAAATGTCAGTGTACGCCATCTTCTGTTTGCAAATGACAATGCTATCTTGAAGTATTTCTGGTGCGTTGTCATTCACATCTTCAATGTTCACTGCAAGTGTTCCAGTGCATGATCTACCATCTAAGCAAAGAAAAGAACAGGTTTTCTAAATTTTTGTTTTATAGTCTCTTAGGTGAAACAATTGAAATCTGCATGATAGGTGAGCTTTCTTAAAAATAAACTGGTTATTGGAGCAAGGTGAGAAAGAATATGGATGAGTAAGATCTACAGATACTTAAAAGATGAATGCTGCTGGTGATATATCAGACATAAATCGCAACAAATCTTTTACCAAATGATAAACATAAATGCCCACGATGCAAACTCTCCATTCCCTTGGGGAGTGAAGTGGCTGTGGAAAAGTTATCCAATCCTACTGTGCATTGAAACCATTCAGGGAGATTGTTTAAATATGTGATGCCCAGGGTTTACAACCAGAGATTCTGATTCAATTACTCTAATGCAGTGTCCACGCACTGATACTCTTATTCTAGCATGAAGCCAAGGATGAGAAATGTAAGTTACTTTGTTGATGTTGTTGAAGTGCTGGGGATTGAACTCAGAGCTACATCTTTTAAAAAAACTCAAAATAAAAATAAGTAAATAAACAAAACGACTTTGCTAAATTGCCCATGCTGAACTCAAACTTTGATCCTTCTGCCTCAGCCTCCCAGAGTGATGGGATTACAAGCCTGTGCCGGCATGCCTGACTGAGTGACTTTAAGGAACAAAATTCAAGAAAAGAATCACCTAATAATTAGCTGAATTTTTTAAAGGCTCATTTAGAAAGAGGCACAGAGAGACCTGGAAGCATCTGATGAGACTATTTCATCCAGTCTTATATTTCTGTTTTATCTTTGCCCTTTACCAAAGAACTACAGAAGCACTTGAGGCCCTCCATGCTGGAAAAATAAAGATAAACAAGAGATAGCCCCTTGGTTGCCAATCACCTTGCTAGACGGTTAAGAAAGGGAGGAACAGAGTCCCTGTAGTTCCCAAGAGGTCCATACACATCACAAGAGTAAAATTCTGCTCAAAAATAGTGCCAATTTTTTCCCATCCCTTCATAAAATACCAGATTAAAACTTTTTTTTACCTTTGTCTATTGCCAGAACTGTGATATTATATAAGTCATATTGGGGAGCTGCAGCTTCTCTGTCCAGAATTTTGGAAAGCATGATTGATCCCGAAGTTTCATCGATTTTGATCCACTCTTTAGGATCATGCAATTTTTTGTATCTGTTAATAATAAAATACAAAGTAGTCTTTGGCATCATACTACATTTTAAAATGAGCAACTCCATTATGATAAGGACGTTATTATGTGATGATATCTTTTTTGTACCTTAGGTCATTGCTGTTTTTATTTTCGGGGTCATACGCCTTATACCCATTGAACTTGGACCCCACTGCTGAGTTTTCCTTAATCCGCACATACTGAGCCTCAGGGTTGCACTCAGGACCCTCATCCTGATCTCTCACTTGAACTGTAACCAAGGCGCGGTTCATGGATGTCACTCTGCTTACATCTCTAACAAATGGCGCTTCGTTGCTTACTCCAATTTCTAAGACCACCTGGCGATTTTCTTCATAATTCAGTGGCTTTAAAACAAAGGATAGGTACAACGTCAGTATAAAACCTATTTGACATTTCAAGCAGCAAGGAAATTTGTCAGTATGAAGAAGCTGGCATACAGCACAGTGACATTTCATCACTGATGATTTTATTCCTTACTAAAAATAAAGGCGATCCTTCACTACGAGGCCTTTAGCAAGAGTTGCCCCAAAACCTTCTGCAGATGGTTTTTCTAGAGTGATGGAAAAGAAATTCCTAAGATATCTTTTATTTCATTCTTACTAAGGAAAATTATCCTGAACAGGCTGGGTAAGCGTCACTTGACTTTCTATGGAAAGACAACTACTGAGTGTGACTTATGGCCTAAGCATTTCACTACTCTTGTAAAGTTAGATATTAGACTTCAAAGTGGAGAAAGTGCAGTGATTTTCTTTTCTGTCCAATAAAACAGACAGTCCAAGGTATCTGCTTTAATTATCCTCTAACATCTCTGTGAGCCATCTCATTTTAACTTTTTGTTTAATCAAAATCCATCCAAGGTCTCACTTCTTAGGAATCAACTAGGCCTTTTTGCTGGATCCTTTGTGAATTTGGTAAGTAAAACTTTTAGCCAATCTTGTTGCCTACTGTTATGAAAATCACATTTCCAACAATCTGCAAATGATACTTTATCCACAGTTTATCCAAGGAAACTCACAGTAGAGACTGAGAAATATGATGCGCTTAATGGTAACTATCTTTGGATAAACAGATCTGCTCTCCACAGTAAGAATGAATTCACTAACCCGCCCCATCTTTGTGGGGCAGATGTTACCATAACAAGCCTCATTTCACAAAACAAGAACCAATATATTTAATTATACTCAATTTTTGGCACAAAACTCAGCACTATTTCCACATACTGTAAGGCAGAAGGGTGTTTTCTGAGACTTTCTGCTTCTTGACACAAATGAAATCAAAGTGGATAAAACTGCCTTAAACCTGTCCTTAAATGTAGGTTTGAGAAAATCAAAATACAAATAATCATGAGTTCTTTAAGAAGTCAAGAGCATTTCTGACTCTCAAAATTACAAAATGTATGTGGATCTTTTTTTAAATTTTATTTAAGGAGAAAAAGAAAAAAAACAGAAAAAGGGAACAAGTTAAACAGAATTTCAATGAAAAAAAATAAACAGTAGGAAATCATATTGTCATCTTAGAAATAGTTGTTCAAGTTACAAAATTAAAGCATATAAAGTGGACGTTCAAACAGTGAGACTGCAAACAGTTCTGTTCAATGATCCAACAAAAACTCAGTAATATGGTTTTCTATCTTATACGCTTAAATATACATGCAGTTATATCCTTTAGAGCACTTTCTTTTCCTCTCTTTTTTAAAATGACAATTACACATTTTGAGTTTTATTACTCCCACAGTTCTTATTACTTTTTTTTGAATAGAATAAAACCAAATGTGACATAACAAAACAGAGTCAGTCAAACCAAAAGGATGGACGTAATACATGATGTAAAAACAGAATATAAGGTTATCAACAATGGATACCATAATGCCTCTTGCTATCTTAAAAAGAATTGCCTATATCATCAGTTATAATAAAATTGAACAAAACAGTAAAGAACAAAACCAATAAAACCAAAACACTGGATACATTACAGGACTTCAAAAGAAGATAATAGTCAAACCAGAATGGGCATCATAGTGAATCTTAATGTCTTCACAGTTATTGCCTATACTCTCAAACTTGGTACTATCAAGCAAAACAGAATAGAGGAAAACCAGTCAAAACAAGATGGTGAGAGCAATACAGGGTTTCAAATCAAGTTAATAGGAAATCAAAGTGGGTTACTATAATATATCCTATTTTTTATTTATTTTCCCTCAATTAAAAAGATAAAAATTAAAAAATAAATAATAGAAAAGGAGATTGAGATAAAAGAGGACATAACAACAAAACAGCATAGCTCATAACATAACCATTTAGCAAAATAGTATTTCACCACAAGATATCCCGACATAAAAGTAGTTACCATAGTGTCTCTTTCCTTGAAATCTTTGAGTATACTTCATATACTGTAGCATCAAACATATCAAGACAATGTAAAACCATTCAAGAGAATGACAGTATTACAGGGTATTTAGAACCAACTAACAGAAAATGAACAATGGTTTCTGTATAATCTCCTTGTCTATAAAAGTTTTTGTTTATATTCTCACATATAATAAAATCCAATAAGATACCACATGTTAAGACCGATGGAGACAGAAGAACAAAAGCTTAATGGAACTTCAAAACAAGATGATATTAAATCAGCACTAGCTATTATGATGTTTTGTTTTCTCCAAAATAGCTGTTCATACCATCCAACCTTCTCTGTCTCATTTTAGTTGAGCCCTTTTTCTGTCATTAGTTGTCAGTTTGTCTTCTTCATTTCGCTTTCTGTTCCATTCATTGTGGCCTCTCTGCCACTGTTTCTGGAATGTTGGTATTTTTCTCTCTTAGAATGTCCTGCAGTATTCTCTGTAGAGTTGAACTGGTGGTGGCAAATTCCCCTACTTCTTCTTTATCCTGGAAACACCTTGTTTCTCCATTAATTTGTAGGGACAGTTGTGCCAGATCTATCAATCTTGGCTGGAGGTTATTGTCTTTCAAAGCTTGGATTATTTCACCCCACACTCTTTGTGATTTGATGGTTTGTGCCGAGAAGTCTGCTGTAGTTCTGATGGATGTTCCCTTGTAAGTGATCTGTTTCTTGTCTCTGACAGCTCTTAATATTCTGTTCTTATATTGGATTTCTGGAATTTTTATTATTATATGCCTGGGTGTAGTTCTGTTTGGGTTGTAGGTGGCTGGGGTCCTGTATGCCTCATAGATCTGAGTATCTTTACCTTTTCCCATATTAGGGAAATTCTCCCTGATTTTTTCTGTGAATAGCCTTTGCAGTTCATTTGTTTGTATCCCTGCTTCTTCCTTTACATTCTTAATTCCTAAGTTATAGATCCTCTTATCATCTTCTAGCCTTTATATTGTTACTGCTTGTTTCCTTGTTATTTTTAAGAAGTTTTTTTCTTTCATTCTCCCACATTGCAAATCTGTCCTCCAGTTCAGACAATCTATCCTTAGTTTCTTTCAAGCTGTTATGCCAGCTTTCAATAGTTTCATTTCCTGGTAATCTCTTTGAACTTGCTTCATGTATTCTACGTTTTCTCTATTTTCTCCATCAAACAATTTCCCCCTTTTTTTTCCCGTTCTTCCATCCCACCATCTGTTTTTTCTTGGGAGGTGCTTAGCATTTCTTTAACTATTCTACTTATATCTTGCTTTACTTGGTTAAATACTTCACTTTTGAACTTGTCTATGAGGTCCCAGAACTATCACTTTATGTCTATTGGTGATGTGCCTGATATTGCATGTTTTCTGTCCTCATTCTCCTTTACATTTACCGTTCCTGGATAAGTGTTCTCAGGATTGGGGACTGAGGACCCTTTCTTGTTTCTCGCTCTTCCCATACTTTTTGTTCCTTCCATACAAGCGTATATAGGAGACCCAGTTTCTTTCTTTGTCAGTTACAGTTTGTTTGAATCGCATCAGATAGGTATTCCCACCCACTGCAGTGTACTAGGGAGGCACAGACCTGGGCGGCCTATGCTGGGTGCGTCCCTCCAGGTCAGTCAAACTGCTGAAGGCTTCACTGCCTTAGGGTGCACTGCCAGGTGCAGGGACCTGGTTTGGGCTAGCCTACTGGGTCTCAGTCCATGGCATCACCCAGGTCAAGCACTCCCCACCAATCCTGCTTGAGAGGGGAATATGTGACTGAAGTTACTGCAGCAACCTGTCCCGGCTAGTCTGCCTGTTCCCAGAATGTCCTCTGTTGGAGCCTCCTAGTTTATGGAAGGGTCCCCATTCTTCTCACTCACCGCAGGTCAATGCAGGGCTCCCTGCCAGCTCTGCTCTCAATTCGGTACACCAATTCCTGCTCTCAGAGCTTTCGCATCTCTATCCCTGCTGTGCCAATTCAGATGCAGCAGTGGCGGCAGGAAATTCAAACCACAGTTTCCAGAAGCGCGGGTTCCAGCTTCAGCACTGAGACTTCAGCTGTTCCAGTTGTAGCACCAGGATTGCATTTCCAGTTAGTTCCTCTCCACTTCGTTCATTCCTGGGTCGGCAGGGTATATTTCCACCTGCTTAGAACTCCCCACACCGCACCATTCCTCAAATCTAAGCTGGCTGTTGCAGAGAGCCCCCATAGCTGCTGTTACCTATCTGCCATGTTCTCCCGGAAGTCTTCACTTAGGTCTCTTGTGGGTGGTACCATTGAGGAGTATCTGGCTTAGTGCTTCTCAACTCTGGCTACACACAGGAATCACCTGGAGAAGTCTATCACAAAGGAGCAGGAAGGAATCAAAGGACCAAAAGGAATCTGGACCTTTTTATTTTTATGACTATCCCAGAAACTGGAGCATCAAGAAGAAACAAGTATTAATATCTGTTTATTTGATGCTCATGAACATTTCCAATTACATGTGTTGGTAACCATGAAGAGCGGAAGGCCAAGGGTTGGCCAGATGGAAACACAGGGTACAACTGCAGTCGTGGAGAGGACACAGCTGTGAGATTCAGGTGAACTTATAAGAGGCTTAGTTTCTTTGTATGGTTTTTCAAGAGTTAAAGTAAATACTGCCAAAGTTGATTAAAACTCTTAAACCATCAGAAATCTGATAAAATGAAATACCAATGACTGATGAATGGATGCAAATTCTTCTTCACTTCAAGGTAAATGTTTGTTTCATTCCCTTGAAAATACTACTCAGAGATCCCCATACCTGCATTGAGCCATTTACAACTCCCTGGAAGGTGTCCCGTCAGAGAGGTGGACCTGAGGGCTGCAAATGACCAAGAACAGTGGCCTCTCTCAGGCCTATAGGCACCACGGCTGCGACCAAAAACTGAGATGAAAAGATTATTTAGGACTCAGCTAACGGCCCCATCATCTAACTTTATGGTTACAGAAAATTTAATTTGTTATG